AATTAATAATTAATAATAATAATAATAATAATAATAAAAGAGCGAGTGAGCAGCAGCAGGTGAGGATTAGTGTCCGGCAGGACCAAGAGCACACAAGCGACGGCAGGCAGTCAGAGGCAGCAGGAGAGCCCAAAGCGCGCCCGGACCCGGCTGGTTAGCGGCGGATACGTACAGACACACGCGGCACCCTCGCGTGCATGGCCGGGCACGCAGCCGTCACACTTGCGCCCCGTGGCTCCAGGACGGCACATGCAGACGCCCGTGGCCGGGTCGCAGGGCACGGGCAGCGAGCCATACGGATCACACTCACATTCTTGGCAGGACCCTCCAGGGCTGCTGGGGCTGCCGGCGTAGCCGGGCGCGCACCTGCGGTTCAAGGGCGACAGCACGGGGGTTAGCAGCAGGTCCCATCTCCGTGGGGGTGCGCGCGCGCGTTTTGGTTTAAATGAAACCAAACTGTTATCAAGAATCTGGGATTATACATCCGGGGACCAAAAACATTTCTATAAAAGAGCAAGTAGTAAGTATATTGTATGCTTTTCTGGCCCCAAAGACAAAATCAAATTTATGTTGTGAGAAAGAAATTTTCAAAGATTTTGGTAACTCTGTTGTTGATGGAAAAACAAAATATAATAATACTAGGCTAGAAATGATCTCGAAGTAGCAGCTTCGTGAAGTCAGAGAATCACTGACTGAACGTTTTGAGGTCCCAAATGCTGCATAATCTTCCGAGTTAGTGTTTCGTGCTGTGGAACGGGTGGAGAGTGTGCACGCCGAGCGGTGGGTCGCGGCTGAAGCACAGAGCCGGCCCGGGCATCCTTGGAAAACTCAAAGGCCGGGGCCTGCCTGCACCTTGCCCACCGCAGCTCCAGCTCATAAACTTGTCTTAAAGTCTTCTTAAAATTAGAAATGAAAAGTAACCGAACAAAACAACTTATTAATCTTACTAAATGAGGGGAGAAGGCGCAATCGATGGAAGTAAGCTACTCAGATTTTCTATTGAATTCTGTTCGTCTTTCTTTTCTTACATCATCTTCCTCAGGATAGATTCTTCATTATGTGTCTGGGAAAGGGGGTTACTATTATGCAAATAAAATCTGTGACATCAATTTGCGAAATTAGAAAGGAAAATTCGACTGGATGAAGTGTAAATGCCAGTCATTCATCGGCCCTCCTACCTGCCTGAGTATCTGTTTACCTGAGCACACACCACCATGGACCACAGAATGGGTCATTCAGGGCTCAGAAGACGCCAGCATCGCTTTGCCCAGGAGAACCCTGGATTATCAGCTGTCTTGGCATAATTCTCAAAATAGTTCCTTTCCTCTCAGAGGGTTTCTGGTTATCTACATACATTGTATAAGCAACAGTCAGAATTTTTGCTCAAGAAGTAAGTTTAAAAAGTTGATAGACAAGGGCCAGGGAAATGGCTGAGTGGAATAAGTGCTTCCCTGGCAAGTGCAACGGCCTGAGTTCAATCCCTGGTTCCAAAAAAAAAAAAAAAAGGTTGAGAAACAGTAGGTAGTTGGAGATAAAAGGTATAAATATCGGTTGGATAATCCTAGCCCACATTTAGCAGTCTGAAATGGTAGAAATGCGCATGGATGATTATGAAAGTGAGTTCATCTTGTGCTAGGTAAAAGGGCAAAACCCACAGATGACGACTTATAACCTTTGTCTTGGACATTTAGTTTTTGATTATTATTTTCTAATATAAATTACAAATACTCAATGAAAGTGCTATGTAAGTAAGTCCTCACATTACTTTTTAACATTTGTAGGTGAAATAATTGTATTCTAACCAGGTTCAAATTGATTAAATCTTCAAAGAGTTTATTACAAGCATAATGAAGATAGAGTATGGGGAGGGGTTTCCATGGTATGGGGATAATCAAGAAATTGAACCAGTTTCAGATCTGAGCCGAGTATAGGCAGGTTGTAGGGTGATTAAAATGATTTAAGAGGCTCTCACGAGTAGAACAAATTTATCTGGAAGGTTATAATAAAAATTTAACCCAGACCTTTGGTTTAATTTAGCCAAATAGAAGCCATTTTTCAAGGAAATATAACCTGACCACTTCCATGTTAGGGAAGATGAATGCAAAGTTGTAGCAACATTTAAGAATTGCAGGAATAAGTCAAATCATTCACACTCGATAGCGTGTGACCCTGCTCATCTGTCTGCCATATGAACTGTCAACTCTTATTGATTAAACATTAATGGATCTTTAAAGAGCAGGCTTCTGCATTCTCTCTGCTTTAAGACGGGAGTTGTCATTTGAGTATATCCTTCCAGTGTTTTCTGTGCATATGCATTTGAAGATATGTGGAAATTCCAGTTCTAGATGGAGCAAAAATTTTTATAACTGACTACAGAAGATCTCCTTGGTGTCCAGGGATGTTTTCAGCTACCATCTCACAGCTAGATGCATGCATGCCTAAGTACAAATACCAAAGAACACCGGCAGTCATTAAAGTAGATATACATTTATCATTTATAAGTTACATCCAAGTGGTGTGTGTATCTTCAGAACAAATGAAAATGGTTTTGGAATTTGTATTGTGAGTTTTTTGTTTTTTGTTTTTTTTTCAGAACCGGGGATTGAACTCAGGCCGTTGCACTTGCCAGAGAAGTGCTTATTCCACTGAGCCATCTCCCCAGCTCCTTGTGAGTTGTTTAATTGTTGCTAATTTACATTGGCATGGAAATTTCAGAGAATTTTAGGTTTTATTTTAATTTTTTTTTTCTGAGGCAGGCTGTGCAGTTCAAGCTGACCTTAGACTTGCTTATGTAGCCCGGGATGACGTGGAACTCACAGAAATCCTCCTGCCTCAGTCTCCTGAGTGCTATGCCTACTGGCATGGAAATTACCAATGCACTGTAATACATGTGCGAAGAGCAGATAGTCTACTTAGAATTGCTACAGAAAGATTTCTATTTGGAAATATATCTTACAAACATGGAAAGTGAGTTTCAATTTATAACATTCAATTCTAATTAATCACTTTCCCAGTACCATTATTAGTATAGCCATTGATGGGTAATAAAAGATTCTTAGAAGGATGATGACAAATATTAATATTAGTTCATATTTGCAAAAAAAAGATTCATAATTTCAGGAGCTCCTAAAAGGACTGAGTAGAGGAAAGGGTGATGTAGGACATGGAAAAGAAGGATCTAGATAAGGCTGGGATTTCACTCTTTCCACCTGTTATTAAGATGGGAGGGATGTATTTTTAGGTGGAGATAAATATCACATTTATAACTACTTGTGAAATGCTTATTCCAGGATAAGATACTATAATTAAGTGCTACTACTACTAAACAAATATTTTGGTTAACTAATAAAGTATAACATTAAAATTCAGTCTTACCCTGACTCCACAGAGAAAGGTATGAAGTGTAAATAACATTCTGCTCTTTGACAGAACAAATTAATTCCGAGTCCTCTGCCACTACTTTGTCGTTGGGAGTGAGCCACCAGGGGAGGTTGGGTAGAGTCTATGGCTTTTGGTGCCTGCGTTTGGAGAAGAGGCATCCACAAGGGTCCCTGGGAAGAGCATGGACACAGTGCCTCCCAAACTTCATTGTTCCCAGGGTCATTGTTTAGTAGGCGGAGCACCAGCTCTTCCTCACTATATACACGAGAAAAATGAGACTCTGACCATGCGGCAGAATTAGTTCCACAGATCTTTACAGAACTTCCATTCTGCTACCAAGTCTGCTGAGGTTATTATGCATGTGTCATGTGCATGATTAATACTGGTTATTCCCTATAGTATAGAGCTTAAAAGTGCTGGTGACAAGTTTGAATACCTGGGACACAGATTTTTGTAGAACATAGGTGTTATGGTTTGTGTCTAGTTGATTCTCCAAAGCCTCATGCAGTCATGGGGCGGGGATTTGTAGAGTTTGAGATTTACTCATGATCCACTGGGATTATGGATTTTAGTACTGCTGGGATTATGGGTGTGAGTACTTTTCCCCAGCCTGGGGCAGGTAGCCTGAATG